TGTCTAATGTATTTCGGACAAATTATTTTTATCTAAATAAATATTTCTTTGGTTTTGACAGATGAATTCTTGATCAAAAGTTAAGTTTAAGTTTCATGTCGATTTGTTGGTGGTTTGATCACGACATCATAGAATCAAATGTGTTGAACGTCGCTTACCTCTATAGGGTGCTCAATAAGTTCAAATACACTTTAAAAATGTTTTGAAAAAATTAAATATAAAAGATATTCTTTTCTGAGTCAATTTTTATTGAAGCAATATTTATTCAGAACCTTTACGACATATTAGCTGGGAGCACCCCCTTCCCCCTTTAAGCTGTATGATGAGCTTGAGACGTTTCTCAAAAGAATCGCACGTGGCACGCACCTGGTCCATCAGCATTTCGTCCCAGATCTTGGAAATGAGCTTCTTAAATTGGTCCATAGTGCTCACTTGATGTTTGTTGTGCTTGGCCAGCATGTACAAGTATACATAGAAGTCCAGGGGATTAAGGTCCGGGGAGCTGGGAGGCCATAAAGTCTTATCGAGAAAATCAGTCAAATTATCCCGACACCACGCTTGGGCGATATTTGCCGTGTGGGCCGGTGCACCCTCCTATTGAAAGACGTAATGATTCTTCCCGTAGAGGTCCCGAAATGCCGGGCCCACATCCAGAACCTCGGTCTTATAATATGCGGCGTTGATTTTCACGTTTTTCTCGATAAACACCAGTGGGAGCTTCTCACGCCTGGATACGCCCCCTTAAACCATCACCGACGCGGCGCTCTGGATTCGCGGGATATTTATTTGTGACGGGAGGTGCTTGCCAAAGTCGGCGCCCACAGCCGATCATTTTGGACATTATGCGCCTGTTGCAAGACAAAGAATTTCTCATCAGAAAACACGAACTCCAGACCTGCGTGCCGCGTAAGTATCAGTTTGGCTCTGTCCAGCCTATTCTTCATTGGAGCCTCCGTTACCCCGTGAACTCTGCGTGACTTGTATCTTTGTATCCCAGGTCCTTCGTCATGATGGTGTGGGCAGTCCTGATCGACACATCCAGGTCAGCAGTGGTCTTCTGGATCGAGCGGTTCATTTTTCGACGAACCCACTCCCTCACCGCCTTGATGGCTGCTGGCGTCCTCGCTGAACGCGACCACCCGGATCTCGCCGAGCCCATGTCCTGCTACCGATGGATGGTGGTATAGATGAAATTCCGCTTCACCCCGTGGGTATGCCGGAATATGTCGCCGGCTCGCTCACCTCTCGCAAACAACTTTACTACGACGTCGCGGTATTCCCATAGAGGTAACTCTAAGACCAGAAGGTCCCGAAGAAACGAGCTCAACTTTTTGGCTCAGCTCTGGTACTCTCTTCGGTCCCAAGCTAATCGATGCACCCCTCGAAACATAGGAAAATCCACGAGCCCCTCATTTTATCTGTCAAACTTTCATAGCGAATCAAAACAAACATAGTGTAGTGCTAGAATTTCGACTAGAATGGGGTACGTTAATCGATTTGCTTGGGACCAATAGGCTAGACAAGTAGTGAGCCAATTTACAATCGTTAGTTTCGTATTGATTGTTGGTATTCCTTCATCGTGCGCGGTAAACAAACAACAAATGACAGCAAGTCGACACCGTGCACATCGGTGATCCTATATATAAGGCAAAAGATAACACCAATACCAATACACAGACTGCACATGGTGCGCACATACACAATGATGAAAAGTTGTATTCGAACTTATTGAACACCCTGATATCCGTCAAAAGTAGAGCTACATAAAATTGAGTAAACAAAGTTGGCGCTGACAAGATGACAGATATGAAAAACATCGCTCGGATTCAGGTTGATATTGTCCATTTGTCCATCTTGTTTACTCAATTTTGGATAGCCCTACTTTTGACGGATATGAGTAGATCCTACTCAAATTTGGGTTGTTTAGAAAAAGCATGCACCCTACACTGATTTTTTCCACAATTCAGGCAATTCGCTTAACCTTGGTCCATACATCATCCTTATTCGTACAATCGCTATCAGAACTGGTGCAAAGATGATGAAAACGTGGAAAACCAGAAATATAACTCACACTGAACTGTTACTTTTGGACTTTTTTCACTTTTGTTTATAAAACAGTACTTTTTTAGGTAGACTTTGGAATGAAAATAGATAAACATATAATTTGTTCTGGGTTTGTATAAAAACAACATTAAGCCTAATTTTCCTATGTTGAAATTCTACGCATAACTGTCCCACAAATATTTTCTTGACTGAATCTACCACTAACGAATTGATTTATGCACACGAATTATTGAAACAGGATTTATATGATCAAAAATAAAACGGTACGAACCATTTAAGGAAGTGGAAGTTTTATTTTATGTTCATAAATATTAAGAAAAATGGGATTTCATATTAAAACACCAGATTCTAATTCCAAACAATACATTGTTAGACACTTAGGGCCCATGCATTAATTATGTCACGCTAAATCGAAGAGAAATTTACCCCCCCCCCCCTTATCGTGACGTTTTTTCTACACACTAAGAAAAAATCATGTAAATTTAGGTGCTCTGAGACTGACATATACGAGCGTCAATTTTGACATAGAATTGAGTGATAATAGACGTGAAATTCAGCTCAATCAAATGCACTTTTCGTCGAGTAACAAATTTTTCAGTCTCGGAGCACTTAATTTTACATGACACGTTTGTTTACGTCTCATACTTTGTGTCAAAGGTGGATTCCGTAAGTTTTTCTAAGTGTGTATACCTATTGCATTGCTTGTCACAAAATCTACGTGGATTTCAGAATGTATGCGGTTTATGCACGGTTATTGGGATTTACGCGGTTTATTATTTGCAGTTTTTTTACGCGCCACGTATCATCCGCGGAAAAACCGACTCCAGTGTAAATAGACTGCCATCACAGGTACGTACACAAAAAAAGCATCGTCGGATCCCCCAACACCCATCACCGAGCCCATTATTTCTCACAGAGGAAAATGCATAAATATTGGAAAACAGAATAAATTACATTGCCCGCGGATGGCTGTTTGTGACATTGCTACCTTTATTTGTTGTGGGAGTGCGTTTAAGCATGGACTGCCTCCACTGTATTCTCGGCTTCTTCCGAGGATCAAATGATTCGTCAGATAAGGATGCTTTTTAGTACGTGTTTTAATGAAGCTTTTAAAACAATTACGTTGAAACGAAGTTTTCGACCGTTATCCTCTGTGACGGACAGGTGGGTTTTACCTACATGATGCTACTACGACCAATTCAATTTCGAAATGGAATGAAGAAACGAGTCACCCATCCTCTTAATCCGGACAAAGGCCACCGCAGCAGGATCCACGGAGTTCGTTTGCCCATTTCAACTTTTGGCAAGTGATTTAGACGGGAAGTTTGCAGTTAACAGGTAACGAACGAAGGAGAAGTAAGCAATGTGGAAAAGGATATTAGGTGGGATAAGTTTGGTTCATTATAGAAGGGAAACTTTTGTATTTGGAGAGGGAAGGATTGAAACGGTCGGATGGGTTCGTTTAGACAGTGATTTCAACTTTGGCTGTTAAAGCTACTTGGAAAGGTGCGGGAAATTGATTCATTTCGTAGCACTGTATTACAAGTTTTGCGGACCGACTTGAGAAAGGTAGGCTATATTATGAATTGGGTTGTTAGTGAAATTCTCAGACGAGCAAAAAGAGGTGATAATTTTCCATTTGATTCCACTTACCATTTTGCATCCATGATAGATACGTATTTCGACTACAGTGTGCAGTCTTCATCAGTGTCATTCCCACTAAAGACTAGAGATTTGGATTATGTTGATTATGTTGGATAAATACTTCCGATATTGAATATTAATTGATCAATTATTAACATGTTACCTTGATCGGTAAGCGTCAGGGTCATGGATAAATGCTACACAGTAAATAATGTGAAGTGGGCAAACATTGGAAACTTACCCTATCTCACTATAGAATTGTCTGATATCGCATCCTGAAGGTGGATTCAGGATTATTTGTTGGTATTTATATAATTAGGAATAGATGCTCATCTCAATAGAATAAACCTCGTGGACAGCAACATCTATCGGTGTGGAAACGGTTACGATGACATCGATCACGCAGTTTGGCAATGTACGGATAATGACGCCGCCAGAGAGCGACTTTTGAATACCCTCGAGGCCCAAGGAAGACAACCCTATATCCCTATCAGAGACGTGTTGGGTACCCGCGATCTCTGCTATATGCAGTCGATTTATGTGTTTCTGCAAATGTCTAGTATAAGAATTTAATTCGTTTGTCTTTTGTATCTCTTTATTAGTTTTTGTTTGTCTTGTCCCCCGTCTCGATGAATCTCATCGTCGCCCACTGGTCACCATAGCCGGTCGAACTCCAGACGAATCTAGAACCACACTACCATTCATACTGGCGACATCGCTCTGATGAGACAACGAAACCCTACCCCAAGCTCCTCCCCTTTTCCTATCCTTCGACAATGTGCCCCTCTAACCTCGAGTAAGCCGCGAGTATTCGGCCCAACTCCTACTAGACATAGAATTAAGTGAATTTTGTTACAAACAAAGAACAATGAATTATCGGCTCCGTAAAGCTAACGCGATTGAGCCTTACAAATAAACGAACTAGATAAAAAAAATATAATTAGGAAGAGCCTGATTGGACCACAGATAGACAAATTCATGGTTTGATATTTTGAGGCTACATCCATGATTCATTAAAACAGATATCATGACAGCAGCTGAACAAGTTTTAATAGGTAACTTTATCACATGCACTCAACAGCACTCTAAATTTTCACGGTGCAATACCACACATGCTCAATCAATTATGCTTAATTCCGTGACTATACACACCGGCAATCAATATTTGGTTGGACATAATTCTAATTGATTCGGAATAAAGACAGCCGTAATCGATGTTATTTTCAATTAGTACCATCTATGTATCTATGCTTATCTGTGACTTAAACCCTCAATATATGCTATAATTTCAGCGGCAACAAATGGACCCGCCTCGGGCGTGACGCAATCTGCACGCTGGGAGCAACATTTGGGAGTGTTTCGAACGTCCCCGGCTGTGGAACAGGTTCCGGATCGAAAAGCGCTGACGGCAGCGTTGGTTCACTTTTCCCGAGCGCTGGGGTGAGTAACACAATTATGCTTCCACTTTCCAACTAAGCTTTCGTTTTGTGCCAGGCAATTGTCGTTGAATGTGTCTTCTTTTGGGCTGGATTTAGAGCGAGGGTGTTGTTGAACAAGCACCTTTTGACTGAACAATCTATATAAATACAAGTAAAACGGAATAACATGTGATGGAATCCTGTAGCGTGTCTGTGACATTATCTTCATTCTAGATTGAATTAATGTCCCACACCCACGCTACATTACTTCATACTACTGTTACTAGAGTAACTATGCCATGAGTTTATACGGATGATGTTTTCCAAAACGCCCACAGTACGCCTAAACATTTCCCATTCACTCCTCGTGCATGTTATTGTAACCATTCATTTCGAGCGGCAATAAACGAGACTGTGTTTACCTCGAAAATTATTTTTTTTGAACTGCAAGCAAAGTTATACAATAGCGTGCATATTGATTTCTCATAGGCCACCCTCCATTTTGATTCATATCCTCAAAATATGAGGCAGTACAAATAATGGTAAAAGTTGATGGAGGTTTAGAGGTCACCCAAATTAGTTTAAAGTTGTATGGGAATTGCTATGGAAGCATTTTAAATTTCACTTATGTCACTCTACCATTGGCTCTAATTGTCCAATTCCAGGTTACTATGAAAATGACCCAAAAGCCTGCTGTTGCTTACGGTACACTGACTGGGTGTATCTTATGGCCTACCTTCCCTACTAACATAATTTCTAAATCTCGAGACCTTTATGAGGGGTCGTAGAGTCCTCTGCATTTCTCTTATGTAAATGTTTGACTAACATACCTTTCCTATCCCTACCAGTTGTAAGGACGTGGCCAGGAAAATCGTTAACTGTTGGAGCGGGATATGTCTTTATCGAGGAGATAGTAATTATTTCCTACTTACTATCTGTCCAGCAATAGATATCAGTCTAGCTCTTAATAGTTTTGAATTCGTACCACCTACGATCAGTGTTGGGAAAATAACAAAAAATCAAATCTCACCAACGCTCAAGATCACGCTTGATTTTTGTGAATCAAAAATCAACAAGCAAACAACTGCGGTTGATTTTGCAAGCTGTGATATCGCAGCTCGGAATATCAAGCTGACAAAACTCACCAACTGCAAATCTCACCATACTGTGGTGAGATCGAGTTTAATGATGTTTGCTTTACACCCGAATGCAACCGAAACTTCTATTACGGCTTGCAGCAGTCCATCCACGTCTGCCATCGGTGAAGATTAAAAAAAGATAGCAAACTATGCTTTCTCTTTCTTAGAAAACGATGTGCAATGGAATCATTTTTGTGTCGAGTCAACTCTCAGCTTGATTTTTGCACGTTGTGAATAGTCTCGCAATATCAAAGGAGCTTGTAAAATCAATATCAAGCATGATATTTTGTTCCCATATCACGCGTGATATTGCGAGCGCATGAGAGCGGAAAAGTATAAATTGATTTCTGATTTTGCCAACACTGCCTACGATATTGTGCAACTTGTTCGATGCTAGTGCTAATGCTATCAAGCCTGCTGTTGTTGCGGTCAGTCTTGCAGCATTAAAAAAGATATAAATGTGAAAAAAAAATCCAAAATAGGCGTTGGGGAGCTTCTCAACCTATAGAAGATGATCTCCACTGCAAAGCGAATGTGCCTTCTCCTTCCTTATTTGATCCGTATCCTTTCCTAGAATCCAATCCTAGATCCTCCTTTCATCGTCATCCGCAGACCATCCCATCAAGGGGATTTTCATCGACGATTGGTACTACTGATTAAACTGAACAACTTCGACTTTCCCTCATAATCTCTGTTGAAGGATGGGCTTTTAATAAATAACACCGTCTTAGAAGGGGTGCCGAAAGCGGACCTCAAAATGTAAGCTCTCATCGAGCTGAACGAATTAAAAATTATTTAGGCCCACTGGATCTAATGGCAGTCGCACGGAGGGGTATTTGTTCTACGCTAGCTGGCCAAAAGTCGATTTCTCAAAATAAGCTAACACAGATTCTGAATGCATGTATTGAACACTTCAGAGGTGTAGGGTAACAATGCCCTGTACTCATTATTTCTTTTTCTAAACTGACCGCTTTGTGGCATCAGTTTAAACTTGCCTGTTGTTAAATCGTGTTGGTTTGGTTAGAAAAAATCGTTCCGCAGTACCATTGTTTTCGTGTCTCTACTTGTTGTTGGGATAATCACATTAATTTGCAAAAATGGATAGTGATCAAGCAGGTATTGAAATATTTATTCCACGTGACATCAGCTGATTTTTTTGAAATTGTAGAAGCAGTTTATGAAAATCTTGTCTTTAAGTGCTATTAAAACTATAAAAAAATAGCCGGCGCCGGCGGTGTAGTGGTAAGCGTGACTGCTTTCTCACACCCCGATGGGTCTGGGTTCAATCTCCGCCGAGGTCGGTGCGAATTTTCTGAGGCATAACAATCTCTGGTCACGTCTTCCTTCGGAAGGGAAGTAAAGCCGTTGGTCCCGGCCCATGTGTGTTGAATGGGTGCGATATCCAACGCAGGTTTGGAAGCTGCCTTCCTGCACATTCGATTGCCGTCAATGGTGGATGGCAATCGATGTTTGTCGGTGATTGGCACTAGATTCCGAACCAGAGATCGACGTTAAATAAAGGAAAGAAGAAGAAAACTATAAAATAATTGTATCGTGATAAAAAAGTTGACTTATCCTGTAATATCCTGCAAAGGCATATATGAGGCATTATATGTACATAAGTATAGAAGATTAAAGCAAAAAATCAGCTGCGATTATTTGCGATCTTTCGAGAAATTGGAAATTGAAGATGGCGCGTCCATATAGGCGAATTTATCAAAAACTACAAGGGACAGGATTATTTGTTGGTGGTGCGAAGTGAAATTTTCTTCATGTTGGTAGTGTTGAAATAAACGTTTCATCACCGTCGGTTGGTAGAGAGAAGTGTCAAAAGGCTTTTTGTGCAGAGCCGATTCGTGACTTTGTGATTGTTTGTTGACATTGTTCATAGCTGGAGTTTTTACGGAGGGGAATAAAATTCAGAATGAAGTGTTTTGCTCACTCCGTAGAACCTCGCTGGCAGCAACTAAAATATCCACTGAAACCTCTTCTGTCGCGGGAAAAATCTGTTGAAATTTCCTGGAACTTTTGTACTATCATCACAAATCTCCTTAGAACGTTCTCCGAAGTCACAGTCGTTCCTGAGCGAAAAAAAAATCGGAGGGGTTTTTTTTCAGCGCAGGAGTCTACTTTGGTCCAAAATACGCAATAATACTGTTATTTTTAATTGTTTGAGTCGTTTCGAATCACGTTTTTAATCAAGATCAAGATCAAAAACATTACTGAAAAATATTTATTTTTTTTATTTTGGACGATAACAATACTTATATCTATTTCAACGAACCACAATGATAAAAAAGTGGTTCGATTTGACAGCTCGAAAGTGGTTCGATTTTGAGGTCCGTCTTCGCACCACTCAGGGACAGCCCTATGGGGTTGTACGCAGTGGTGACGTAGGAATACGTGGTCTTATATAATAAATCTTATTTGTTAACTGCAACAGGATCAGCGGCGCCGGTGGTGTAGTGGTAAGCGTGATTACCTCTCACTCCAGCAGGACTGGGTTCAATCCCAGTCGGCGTCGCTGGGATGTTCTGAAGCATAACATCTCTGATCACGTCTTCCTTCGGAAGGGAAGTAAAGCCGTTGGTCCCCGGTTCATGAGTTGATGGGTCGATAGGTAGGGTCCAGGTGTGGGAGCTGCTTCCCTGCCGTCGGTAGCATTGGTGCTCAGCACGGAAAACAAAATCAAGGAAAAAAAAACTGCTACAGGAGCTTGTGTTTTGTGTAGGAATAGGAATTTGAGCGGGGCTCTCTCTGTTTAAATTCTTTAGCATGACGCGCTTGACATAGATGGCCCACAGCGACTCACGAAGAGCTACTGATTCCGATCAATAGCGGTGCTGCTTTTTCCTCCTTCTATGGATGCTCATGTGAACTGCAACTCGCTTTTTGCAGGCAGCCTTTGGCTGTGTACTGGAGAACACCACCACTCAGCAGACCGGGTGGAATTGAACTTTGAAATCCGTGTAAGGGAAATCGCTTTTTGCAGGCAATCGGTGATAATTTTAATTATCATAGCAACATTTGTACTCCGTGCAAATTTTAAATAGTGACATTTGGAAAAATGATGATGTCTTAAATTAAACAGATGCTTAGAAATATTTCCGATCGATTGGCGATAAAATTATTGAAATTGGTCCAGGAGAAGCTGAGTTATTAATGTTCAAAATCTTTCATAACTTTGTTACATGTTGCATTTTCATAAAGTGTACCCCCATATAGAAATCACAGACGTTTTCTTACGTCAAAAAAAAAAATAAGGTACACAAATGCAGTTATTGACATTTACATTCATTCATTCAGACCTTGTTTTTGGAGGGGGAAGGGGGGGGGGGGTGTTGATTGCCTTTCAGGTATATTTTTCTTGTTTCATAATTCCATCAGGTGCGTATAGATTCTAATACGAGTGTGTTTCAAAGTTGAGAATAGTTTGTGGATCCAATGCAAACATAGTTTGGCAAAACCCAACTCCATCTTAACCTCGCTACTGTTGCGCAATCCACATTAGGTTTATCAAGGAATCATCTGAGGTAATTAATGAAGAGATCAAATATATTTTTCAAATGCAATCAATTCGCTACGGTCAACCAAAGTTATATTAAATGGCAAGCAGTTCACTATTAGACTAACTTTTATGGTCACTATGGTTGATGGGAAAGTGCGTAATGCAGCAGCTGAAACGACATCAATGATGAAGCACAGACAAACAGATATAACACTGGCAATTTTTTCATCGAACACGCATTTAACGGTCAATTTAAATGTTTTACTACCAACTAAGTACCGCCACCTGTGGCGCACATAGTCAATAGCCTTTGCGTTTGACGTTTACATACTACTGCCATATGTTCAACGTACTACCCATCACAGTATGCTCAAC